CGCTGAGGCAGTTTGGGCAACAATCATGGACATTCCTGACAAGTCAAAGGACAATGTTAAGGCTAGAGTGGATCTGACAACGTTATGCGATAAACCAAACCAACATATGAAGCCTCCTAGTCGCGGCAAGACATGGAGAAGGCCTAAGGCCAATTTTGTCTTGAGCAAGCCCCAAAGGAGAGAAGTACTAGAATGGATCTAGGCGTTAATGTTCCCTGATGGGTTTGCAGCTAATCTGAGGAGGGGAGTGAACTTATCTACTATGCGATTCTTAGGGATGAAGAGTCATGACTACCACATATGGATTGAGCGGCTTCTTCCAGTGATGGTTCGAGGCTATGTCCCTGAGCATGTCTGGCTAGTGCTGGCAGAGTTGAGCTATTTCTTTCGCCAGCTTTGTGCCAAGGAGTTATCTTAGACCGTGATTGCTGACTTGGAAAGAATGGCACCTGTGTTGCTCTATAAGTTGGAGAAGATCTTTCCACCCGGCTTCTTCAATCCGATGCAACATTTGATTTTGCACCTCCCGTATGAGGCACAAATGGGGGGGCCCGTGCAGGGCCGTTGGTGATTTCCAATCGAGAGATGTCTAAAGGTTCTTCGAAAGAAATGTAGAAATAAATGCAAAATCGAGGCTTCCATTGCAGAGGCATACATTCTGGAGGAGGTGGCAAACTTCACAACAACATACTATGGTGACAACCTCCCTAGCGTGCATAATCCACCCCCTCGTTACAATGCTGGCGAAAATGAATCGAACCTCAGCCTTTTCCGAGGGCAACTCAGAAGCGCAAGTGCATCGACCCCCAAGACCTTGAATCATGAAGAGTGGCGCCATATCATGCTATACGTGTTGACCAACCTTGATGAAGTGGTGCCATACATGCAGTAAGTTCTCAACGAACTTGTTAAAATACGTCGTCACTATTCTGCATCCAACCCCCTTGTTTCTCGTTGGTATAGGGAATTTCTTCATGAATTCTGGCGTCAATCAAGGGATCCTACCCTGCAGCAGGTAGATACCCTTCTTAGATAGGGTGCGGAAAATGGAATGCCCGATTTCATTTCTTGGTTCAAACGGAAGGTACCGTCCAATTTAGCTCGTACTTAGTTTGACATTCCAAGTTACTTGTACGTGCGAATAATATAACGATGTATCCTGCTTGAGCTTGTAGGGCCAGAGGGATGCGTCTATGCGTGCCGAGTTGAGACAGGTTGTTGATAGCTTTGCTTATAGGGTCAGGTCATTTTCCGGTTATGACGTGAATGGATATCGCTTTCGCACAACAAGCTACGAGCAGAGTCGGCCCAATCGAAGAACCACAAGTTCTGGAGTTTTTACGCCTTGCGTTGATGAGGTCGAGTATTATGGAAGAATTGAAGAAATATACGAACTCAAGTTTCATGGTTCCAAACCTTTTAATCCCGTCATATTCAAATGCCATTGGTTTGATCCTGAAATAATGAGACGGACATATTCTAATCTTGGGCTAGTCGAAATTCGACAGGATTCTGTCTTACCAGGAGACGATGTCTATATTGTGGCCCAACAGGCCACGCAAGTTTATTATCTCCCATATGCGTGTCAAACCAAAAGTCATCTTAAGGGTTGGGATATTGTGCATAGGGTATCGCCACATGGTAAAGTGCCTGTCCCAAACGATGAAGATTACAACTTAGACCCAAACACATATGACGGAGAGTTCTTTCAAGAAGAGGGACTAGAAGGGAGGTTTGAGATAGACTTAACCGAAGCGATCGGAACAGAAGTAGACAATGAAACAGTTATTGAAGAGGACGCTAGAGATGAGGTGCAAAATGTGAAGGACTTACAAATGCTTGAGCGATTACATTTAGACAATGACAATGGCAACATTGCTCATTCGGATAGTGTTGATTATTTTGACATGATTGATAGTGATGATAAGACTTATGATCCAGCTAATCCCGATCATGAAGATTATTTCTAATATATGTAATACTATGTTATTTTGTAATTACGTTTTGTTTATTTTGCATCTCTTTCTAAGTACTTCTTGTTTATCTGTGCATATTGGTTACTCTTTTTAATTGCAGGTGATTGAACAAAGATGGTGGGCGGTGGGATGAGGAAGCTAAGTGATGATACTTGTGGTTGTTAATGGTACTTCTATTTACAATTGTGGTTGTAGATGATGGAGCACTTGGATTACTTGTGAACTTATTTGTGATATATTGTGAGACATGTGACATTTGTGATATATATGTGGTGTTGGTGATATATATGTGCTATTGATGATATATATGTGATGTTGGTGATGTTTGTTATATATATCTTCTGTTTGTTTGGATGGAATGTAAAAAACAAATAAAAAAGGCTGTTTTCAGTCACTTTGCCGAGTGCAATGGCCATGACACTCGGCAAAGTGACGACCTAAGAACATGCCTGGGAACATGCTTTGCTGAGTGCAAAGGCCATTGCACTCGGCAAACATCACAGATTTGCCGAGTGCCACGGGCCAGGCACTCGGCACAAGTCGCCTGTTTGCCGAGTCTCTTGCCGGTGGTACTCGGCACAGTGGCCACCTTTGCCGAGTGTCTGAGTCAACGGCGCTCGGCAAAGAGGTGACCTTTGCCGAGTGCTTGACCTTGACACTCGGCAAAGCCGCCGTCACGGTGGCGCTCGCCGTCCCGGCAACTTTTCTTTGCCGAGTGTCAGATTAGCACTCGGCAAAAGCTTTGCCGAGTGCCCGATAAAGTACACTCGGCAAAGAGGTCTTTGCCGATAAACTGTTTACCGAGCGCCCTTTACCGAGTGTAACACTCGGCAAAGGCTTTGCCGAGTGTATATCGGCCTTTGCCAAGTGCCTGAGGCACTCGGCAAAGAAGCCACCTCCGGTAGTGGTACTATACTATATATAGCATATAGCTAGCTCGACGGAGCAAAAGCTACGTACCTGCAGCTCCAACGACCTGATTAACCGCGTGTTTGAGACTGCTCCGTAAAGAGCTGAACCTATTTAGCTAAAAAACGTGAAGCGGAGCTGATAAACGTGAAGTGTAGCAGTCCCATATACCCCCTAATTAGCTAGGGGTGTGGGCCGGGTAAGGCCAGGACACATCAATTTCTATTTATACTAAAATTTTGTAGGCCATAGAGGTAGGAGTATTATTTTACAGACACCTATCTCTCTATTGCTTAACTAAGACTATGTTCCTAAAGTATTATCTTGTGCAATCGTTTTGTAATTTATTTACAGGATTGCTCCGATCCACGCAGTACGTCCGTTTCTCAACGCTAATAATCTTCGCGTGGATGGGCAAAGAGCCATTTGTACAAAACTAGAAATATGTATTATTATTGGTTAATCAATGGCGCCTACAAACAAGTCCAGATATAGCTCACCCGACTTTGATTTTGACACAACGCCAAATCGGCGACATATATTTCTGTACTTTTACCTCATGTGTGTATCACCTTTCCCTGGTGGTGTTGTGCAAACTATCATTTTCACCTGATTTAGGCACAAAACCATAATCCCAAGAAACGAATTTTATATTATTTTCCTTGACTTTTTGGATGGGGAGAGGCCACGAATGAGCTAACCTTTATACAAATTCTGATGAAAAAGAAAAAAGAATAGACAATAGAGTGATGACCTAACATTTGCTTCCAAAAAACTAGCACTATATTATATATATGGGGACAACAATTTAGGGTGGTGCAGTTTTGCGGCGGCACTACCTATAAAAAGAAGAACTACTTCCCATGGCCTTTTTGGACATGATTGTGTGGAGTGGAGGGGACTGGCTAGTACTACTATCAATCTAGATACTCATAATATTTTGCAAATAATTTGCAAGGATCTGAGGTAACTAGTACGTAATTTCTTGATCAGCACTACTGTACTAGCACATTTGTTGTCGTTGGCATCCTCACTTATGTATAGATTGATCATTCCTTCCTTGTCTAGCTAGTTCTTTGGACTTGTGTTTGTGTAGCCACATATATTCCTTTTTCTTTTTTCCTCTTAGTGAAATACGTGACTCAGTCGAGAAAAACATATATTCCTTTTTTTCTGAAAAGTGGATATCAAAAAACATTTTTATTTGAAATCGTCGTTTCTCTGGATCATATATACACCACCAGATCAAGAATACTGCAATGACAATTTCTACTACATATATACTTTGAGTTTGTCTCTATGACAGGTGACTGAAGGTTTGTTTAACCATCAGTCACCAGACGTGGATGATCTTATTAGAAAATTAACCAACCGCGCCAGCGCGTCCCTGTCCCTGTCCTGGCGCCCAGGATGCCCAGCCCCTAGGCCATCAGCTCCAGCAACCCTGTTCTCTCGCACGCACACCACCTGGGCGGTGGCGGTGCCTGCAGCAAAGCCGCATGGAGCCCCGCCCCGCCTACTCGGCGACCTCGGCAATCGGCACCCTGCGCGGCGGCGGCAACAGTGTCCTGGCTAGCGGCAGTGCCTGGGGCACAATCGCATGGAGCCCCGCCCGGCTGGCCATGATCGGCCGCTGAGCCCCCGCACCACTGGTTTTGGAAAGAGGCAGAGGCATGCTCACCGGCCGCACTTGGACGTCGCTGCGGCTCGCCTCGCTTAGATCTCGTGGTGCTCCGTTCCTCACCTCATAGAAGAAAGGTGGGACAGAGGAAAGTGACGGATTCACGGACAGGACAACATAGAGACAGAGGAGTACGTATACAAGAATCATCCAGAGGGAAAGTGACGGACAGGACTAGCACACAGACAGAGAGGAGTATACATGAATCATCCAAATCCCTTCATCTCACATTTGACGCACCACAGAAGTTGACTGACAAAAAGACAAACTCTCATGCGACTGCGATCTAGTAATCTCATATACTTTTGGGAAAGCAAACAATTATTGGTTTTAAATTATTGTCTTGCAATTGGGCATCAATAATAAGGATGTTATCATTTGCTGCTGCAGCTGATAGAGTGTTATTATACCAACCCCTGCCGTCAGCTGGCAAAATGGAAGACTCGAGCTTATTCCTGCAGTGGGCGATGAACACGCTGCGGCACGAGCAACCCGCGGCCGCCGCCATCAACGACGACTGCAGCAGCGAGGCGACGTTCCCCTCACTCCAAGCGCTCCGCGAGGCGTCGCACGCAGCCGAGATGGTGCAGGAGCTGATCGCGGAGGCCCCAGCGAACAGCTGGAGCTCAGGCGACACCACCGACGGCAGCAGCGGCGGAGGCAACAACAACTCGGCCCCTGCGGCTGCGGCGGCGGCCATGGACCACGATGTTGTCTGGCCTGCGTCGAAGACCTCGCCGGTCAGCAGGCCCGCCTTGAGCAGGAGCAGCAGCGGCACCAACCCTCCTCTGAGCTGGAACTTCAGCGCCGCCGCCGTCTGGGCGCAGCTAGGCAGCGACGGCATGCTGCCGGAATTCGCCCACAAGCGCGCCCTACCGCCGGACCAAGTGTACGGATCGCCACCGGCAAGGAGAGCCGGCTTGAGGAGCCCGGCGGGATCCATGTCGGCGCCGTACGCTCAAGACCACATCATCGCGGAGCGGAAGCGGAGGGAGAAGATCAACCAGCGGTTCATCGAGCTCTCCACCGTGATCCCAGGCCTCAAGAAGGTCCTGATCCAGATTAAATCCATTCATTTGTTCGTCAATATGACACAAATCACTTAATTAATGCAACGCTTAATTTCTGATCAGATGGACAAGGCAACGATCCTTTCAGACGCGACCAAGTACGTGAAAGAACTCCAAGAAAAGCTCATGGACCTGGAGGCTGGCGGCAGCCTACGTTGCACCGATACAGGATACTGATACGCCGATACCGATACGGCGATACGGTGATACGGCATTTTAAAAAAAACAAGGATACGTTGATACGGCAAGTATATAAATATACCCAAAAAATCAGAATACACCTACTGAGAACATTTTTCACTCTAGCAGAACAATCAACAAATAAAAATGGCAAAACATAGACATTGCTAGTTCCATGAGGCATCTAAGATACTTGATTTTAAGGTTCTTACAGCACAATAATTAATATTGGTTTTAACATTTTTACAGCAGAATAATAAATATTAGAATACAAGGGACACAAGCCAAATTTAAGGCTAAGGTTGCTACTGCATCTCAGTGCCAGATACGCCTTCTTCATATTCAAATAATATCCGTTCAAATTCTGTCTCATCCTGTGAGAGATCAGCATGTTCAAGAATGCCACCACCATGAAAGGTCTCAGGATTGTCTGCCCCAACATCCCACATCTGAGTTCGCCCCTTCATATAATCATCAGATTTCCTCGACAGCAGACGCATGTTGCTATGGACAAACACTAAATCCTCAGCACGTGGAGTAAGCCTATTCCTGGTTACGCTATCAATGAATCCATATGTACTCCAGTTCCTTTCACATGAAGAAGAAGATGCCGGCTTTCCAAGTAACTTCAGTGCTAATGATTTCAATTCTGGGTCCTTTGACCATGGAGGCCCCACCATTGCTTTGGTTCGAAAAGAGCTCGATCTTCAATTGACTCACGGTTCGCAAAGCAACCTCCGAATAGAGAAAAATCAGCAAATTGCCGTTTGATTGTCCTAAGATCCTCTGGATTGGGAAACATTTTTCTAAACCACTTGTTCCTCATGTCAGAGACCTCAATATCTTCATGGGGGGCTACACGGTTAGGAACTTCAGAAAGCCACTGTTGAGAATAGTACCTGCAGAAAAGAAGGGCATGAATCATTCCCAAAAGTGATAAAACATGAACCAAGTGACAATAGCAAATTGACAATTGACAACAAAAATCACCTAGGGTTGAGAGAATGAGCCAAACAATGGAGAGGAGTATTGCTTTTAAGCCAACGATCATACAAAATGGCATAAATAGTATTATAAAAGGCAGATTCTTCATCAGGTTGCTTTCTCTCATGGCGATAAATGCGATCTTTCACTTTCTCAATCATGTTGTCCCACATCACATAAATCAGATGGAGACATGGCTTATCTGTGTCTGCTGCCCTTAGCATTGAATAAATAGGCTCAGTGAAATCAACAATGTATTTAACATTGTCCCACCAAAAATCATCAAGCAACTTATCTTTTACAGATCTTGCTTTGTCTACATCATCTTCCCTATATGTTGACCACTTGTCATCAACAACCACTAACACAAGAGACTCTTTGAGAACAAGGAACCTCTTCAACATAATAATACGTGATGCAAATCTTGTATCGGCAATAGCAAGAAATTTGAGTTTACTAAACTCATTAAACATTGATAGGCGCATACCGTGGTTCATGATGTAGTTCTTGATCATGAATGCAGCCTGCACAGTATCCTTAATCCACATGAGCCCAGCATTTTCGGCATCATTGTCCTTTGCATCACAAATATTCTTCAGTGCCAAATTCAGAGTGTGGACAACACATGGAGTCCAAAAGATGTGGTCATACTTCTGTTCAGTTATCAGACCGTCACCCTTGCAGTTTGCTGCATTATCTGTAATCACTCACTACTACAGGAATCAATTTGCGCAGCGTGGCCAAAATGGGCTCCGTGGCGGGCACCTCTTTTGCCCGCCACGGTTAACCGGTGGCAGGCCAGCGAGGCCGGCCACCGAGGCACCCGCTGCGGGAAAAGGGTTTACCGCGGCGGGCCACCTTACTTGCCCGCCGCAGGAAATCATTATTTACCGCGGCGGGCGGTATGAATCGCCCGCCGCGGTTAATACGATTTACCGTGGCGGGCTCTTTAAACTGCCCGCCACGGTAAAGAGTTGATTTACCGAGGCGGGCGCTTTATCTTGCCCGCCGCGGTAAAGCCTGTACAAATACACATCACCACCCCGTCATCTTCTCCACGGGTCTTCCTCTCTCAAACTCATGGGGGGAGGCTTTGCCCTAAAATTTGAGGAAACTTTTGATTTGAGTTGAAGGGCTTGGATTTAAGGGAGGAGGACATCATAAGAGGTTCATAAAGGCTCTCCCTCTCTCCTTCCATCCTCTCTCTCTATTTCCATCACCTAGAGTTCTCTCTAGATCTAGATCAATTTTAATGGAAAAAATGATGTCATGTATTTCTTTAACTTTAGATTCATCATAGATGCATGCTTCATCTTTCACATCGTCATTTCCTCTCTTTTTCATGATTTTGGACGTAAAATTCATCAATTTCTCCTAATTCTTCTTTATTTAATGTTGATTGTGACGGATAATGTTCGCATGTATGATGGATAGGTCGGAATGGATGTACCGGATCGATAGAGTGAATGATCCGCGGTACCTCTTTGAATTAAGGAAGTTTATTGCTGCTGGTAAAGCTCACCGTGAGAGACTGAAGCGGATGACAACCATATGTCCATGTTCTCGTTGCAAGAACCTGAAAGCCCACCGAGACAGCGAGGTGCAAACTCATTTGATCATGTATGGTTTCGTCGAGGGCTACACAGTCTGGACATTTCATGGCAAAAGAGTTGGTGCGAGTGGTGGTGCATCTGGAGTGAGCTCTTCGACGCCGACGACGACAGCACCACCGGTGAATAAAGATCCTTTAGGAGCACCCGGCTCATCATCTTCAGCAGCAGCTGCGCTAGCCGACAGTGACAACAGTTGTCGTGATTACATCATGGTGGATGATCTAATGCAAGCCATGGCCGACGAAGCCGGTGACGGTGGGGATGGTCAGGATACTATGAGCCAACCCGAGGATGTGCAGCTTGTTGAAGATCTAGTCAAACACTTCGATGACGACGACGTTGTGTTGGGTTGCCCAAAGTGGTTGGAGAATTTCAGAGAGTTGAAGCAGGCGGCAGTTGATCCTCTCTATAAGGACGACGGCGATTGTCCGAAGGAGTGCATGGAGCTCCGTTTTAACGTCCATATGTTGATGTTGAAGGCTCACCATGGTTGGTCTGATACTAGCTTCAATGAGTTGTTAAGCTACCTTGCCACCACGTACCCAACGGCTAACAAGGTGCCCGCCAATACTTATCGGGCCAAGAAGCTGATCTAGCCAGTGGCGATGAAGCTTAGAAAGTTTGATGCATGCCCTAACCACTGCATCCTGTATCAGGGCAATGAGTATGAGAATTTGACGAGTTGTCCGCACTGCGGCTTTAGTCGGTACAAGAAAAATGTTGGTTGTCGCGTGGATGCAGAAGACGAGGGAGGCTTGCGGGGTGGTCGGAAGAAGAACAAGAAGGGGGCAAAGAAGAGCAGTGCGGCCAAACAGATCTTGGCTCAGCAGGACGATGAAGAAGAGGGTTACACGCACAGGAAAAGTCCAGCACTGTCGGTGTGGTACCTGCCCGTGACCGATCGCCTGCGTGCAATATTCGGGAACCCGGACGATGCCAAGCTCATGTCCTGGCATGCATCAGCTGACTGCTTGAAAGACGATGGCAAGCTACGGCACCCATCCGATGGCAAGCAGTGGAAGGATTTCGACGAGGCCTACCCGGAGTTTGGCAAGGAGCCCAGGCATGTTAGGTTCGCACTGAGTACCGACGGGATGAACCCGTTCGGTGAGCTTAGCAGCTCGCACAGCACTTGGCCTGTCGTGCTCACCATGTACAACCTACCTCCCCATCTATGTCAGAAGCATAGGTACCTTATGCTGACCATGCTTATCTCTGGACCGAAGCAGCCCGGCAACGATATAGATGTGTTCCTAGAGCCGTTCATGGAGGAAATGAAGATACTATTTGATGTTGGGGTCCAGATGGTGGATGCATCCCGCAAGGAGAAGTTCACACTAAAAGCAATCATCTTTGTCACCATCACCGATTACCCCGGTCTCTTCTCACTGTCGGGGCAGATCAAAGGGAAGACCGGCTGCGTAATTTGCATCAACGGGACCTGCTACACTTACCTTAAGGGATCCAATAAGATGGTGTACACGAGGCACAGACGGTTCCTCGCCAAAAATCATAGGTATAGAAGAAGTATTATGAACAAATACTTTGACAATCAGGACGAGCCGCAGCGTGATCAACCGATGCAGACTAGTTGGGGGACAAAGGTGTATGAGATGGTCAAGGACATGGATCAGGTGGAGTTTGGAAAGAAGAAGAAGCCGTCTGAAGAGGGGCCCAAGCAGACAAGGAAGCGAAAGCGGGACCAGACGAAGGAAGTCCCCGCCGCCGTTCCTTTCAAGAAGAAGTCAATTTTCTTCAAGTACCCGTCGTATTGGAAAACACTGAATACACTCCATGCCATCGACTGCATGCACCTAGAGAAAAATGTCTTCGAAAGCACGATCGGTGTCCTGCTGGACATCAAGGGCAAGACAAAGGATGGTATCAAGTCACGGACGGATCTTGTCAATCTGGGCATCAGGCCGGACCTTCACCTGGGACCGCCTCAGAACAGTAAAGTCGATATCCCGGGTGCGGCCTGCAACCTAACGCAAGACGAGAGGACGGCTTTTCTTAAGTTGCTTAGGGGTATCAAGGTGCCGACTGGTTTCTCTTCCAACATCAAGAGCCTGGTCTCCATGAAAGACCTCATAATGACCAGCTACAACTCACACGACTGCCACGTCATGCTAACGATGTTCCTACCAATTGCGATTAGGTTTATCCGTCCAGAGTACGTGAAGATGGTCATCACACGGATGT